AAGAAATATTAAGGTTAGAAAATTTTCTTCCTATACCTAAATCTTTTATTTTAGATCAAACCAAATTCAAGATTGGCGGAGCTTTCTCGGATTTTTCATCCCAGGAAGAGGCCACGTAAAAGTCATATAGTTCAACGGAAGAAACTAGAGGATTCCAAGGGATTTAAATATAAACGGCGTGTATTTCTGGCTCATAGTCTAGTCTAGCCTACGATTTATAAGTAAATGACTGCCAATGAAAAAGTTACCCATTCCCCAAAAAAACGGGTTTTATTGGATTAGAATAACTGAAAGGACAATTATACATACACTTAAAAAATTAACACACATCTCAACATTTAAGGTTTATGATCAGTAAAGGTTTATAAACAGCAAAATTATAAATTTACCTATTCTCATTTTAATCTTAGGTATTGAGATGAGTGTTATTTTTTGGGTGTATGTATAATTGTCCTAACTGAAATGTGAAAGAGTTCAATTCAATTATTAGGGTTAAATGATTTGATAATTATATAGCTATAATATTATATATAAAATAATAAATTTATTAATATAATATGTTATTAAATAATTTTATATATAATATTATAAATAAATTTTTAAATAAAAAGTCAATTATATATAATATAATAATACATATAATTATAAAATTACAGTGTTACTTAATATTGTTTATAAGTCGATAGAAATATCATTTACAGTTGAGTGATACATTTTTTTTAATAATAAAAAAAAAACTATTGCAGTATGAATAATCATGCTACCCCCTTTCACATCATTGAATAAGGAAGTTATTTTTGGGACTGTAGTTTATTGTAGGGCTAAGAATTACTGAAATTTAATATAATACATTGCAGGTACTTGGAAGAGAAGCAAGGGAATTCGGGCTGGGTGAAACTAAATACTACATCCTGGTGATAGTGAGTGGAATGGTTTGGCAGTGTTTCTTCGTGGGAGCAATTGGGGTCATCTTCTGTGGCTCGTCTTTGCTATCGGCAGTTGTAATCACAGTTCTACTTCCGGTGACTGAGATCCTAGCAGTGATATTCTATCGGGAAAGTTTTAAAGCCGAGAAAGGTGTTTCTCTTGCAGTCTCCCTTTGGGGTTTCCTTTCATACTTCTATGGCGAGATAAAGCAAGAAAGAAAGAGAAACAAACAAAATCTAGAGACAGAAATGCCATCACTCCCTAGTCCATGACATTTCCTCTCAATTACAATTTATTCTTTGATCTGAGCAAAATTATGTCAGTTAAATATGAAAAAAATAAAATAAAATCCTGAGGCTCATTTCAAAGACTGTCTAGCTGATCGTTTGATTGCTCATCTGTTGTATAAAACCCTTTTTTGATAATATGAGTATGCGGATTTTTTTATCAAACTAATATTTTGCACAACTACATATTGTACTCTTACAAAAGCATTAGTTGAACAATACTTAGGTTAAAACCTTATTTTAGTCATTCTACTTTAACAAATAACTTTTTTTTGGTCCTTATACTTAGAAAAACTCATTTTTAGTTTTTCAAGTTTATTTTCCAACCCCTCCATTAGTTAAATGGTGACATGGCATAATTTCCGTTAGCTAATTTGTGTTTTTTAATTTTTAAATATTAAATAGAAATAAGGTGTAAATACAAAAAATTTATGTAGCACTATTAAATAACCTTTTTAGTGATGCAGCAATAGTAAATCATTTTTTAAATGAGTTGAATTAGAAATTATTCTTTGAAACATCTAGGTACTCTACTTCAATTGCAAACATCAATAATTAAGAATTTATAGAAATATTTTTATTAATAAAAATAAGAAATTAATTACTAATTAAAGTAATTTATCAATACCGCAAACTCTAACTTTTCCTCTTGCAAATCAAATCCTTCCCTTTACTCTTTTCCTAATTTTAGATCTTCAACCCTCTTCTTGTTGAACCTAAATAATAGATGAACCAAGTTATGAAGTTCATAGCAACACAAATTTATCACCTGTAATGTCAAACCTAAGTACAACTAGGTTCATGATGAACCCAAATTGAACATGATTTGGGTTCAAATTGAACAAGAACCCAGAGGCTGGGTTTTGTAATGAACCTACAACTTGGGTTTTGTGGTGAACCTAGATTTGGTTTCATCTTTCTATCATTTACAACCCATTTCTAAGAAAGGTTTAAAGAAAAAAAAATCATTGCAACCCAAATTTGGCTTCATCTTTCCATCATCGAAGACCTTGCCCTTGCTTCTTCAAGGCATCCATTCCAAGGTAGTATGTACCGTTTCGTACCGGCCAGTACGGCCGGTACGTACCGGTTTTCAAGTTTAGCCGAAATGGAATAAGTTAAAATTTCGTTTCGGTCCAATTTCGACTGTATCGGTCAAATTTCAGTGTACCGGCCGAAATTTCGGGTACCGGCCAGTACACCGAAATTTGACCGGTACATTATGGCTGAAGGGAAAAAAAAAAAAAAAGAATCCTCAGCCAAAACGACGTCGTTTTGGCTAGGGGCACCTTCTTCTTCACTTAACCCTCCAATTTCAATCGTTCGTGCCTCTCTGTCTCGGCCCTCTCCTATTTTCTCCAGCAGCCGTCGATCTCCAGCTTCAGCCTCCAGCCATTGCTCTATCTCCTTATATAGCCAGCCATTGCTCTATTTTCTCCAGTAGCCGTCGATCTCCAGCTCAAGCCTCTATCTCCTTCAGCCTCCAGCCTTCATTAAACGCTGCACTTTCAGATCACGCCTCTCCTCTATTCTCCAGCAGTCCAGCATCCAACGATCGTTGAGGCTTGAGCTCCACTCCTCGCAGGTGGTCCAGCCACTCCAGCCGCTACCGGCGGTCCAGATCTAGCCACAACTCTCTCTTCCTCCACTCTCCAGCAACCAACAGCCTAGCTCCATCTCAGGTATCTTCACATTTTCATTCCGAGTTTACTCTTTCTGTTGGTATTGGTAATCTTTCTATTGGTATTGGTAATATGGTATGCATAGTTGCATACTGCTGCTGGCTACATAATCCCCTGCCCGTGTATGAAAAAAAAAAATTCAAATCATGCCCATGTATAAAATAGAAATGCAGGTGTCTTGGACGGTTGGACCTCTTGGTATTTAGGCATAGTCCCCTGCCCATATTGGACATTTGAATCTCATTTTGTACTATTGATTGCATATACCAGAATCTGATTTTTTTGGTTGGGAACTAAATAACTAATGCTGTGCCTTTAATTTTTTTGGTTGAATACCGAGTGCTAATTGTTGAATCATGAATGTGGAACTGTTGAGTGCTACTGGTGAATGTGCATTTCTTTAAGTAGTTTTGTCATTTTTAGATCCATTTCTATTTCTCTGCAGTTTCATGATTTAATTAGCA